TGGATGTTGATGCTCCAAAGGTCGCAGCCCCGTCGGAGGTCGAGGGTCGCCGTTCACCTTCTACACGGAAAATTGGGGCTCAAGGTCGCGGATTACTGCTCGTGGTCGGAGGACGTGATTGCCGTCAAATTGGAGCTGCGGCCGAGCGATTGAAGATGCTTAAATGGGAAAATGTATAGGGCTTGCTCGTGGGAGAAGCGTGTGGTATGAAGAAGCCGAGGACGGCAGAAATCGCTAGGGCTTTCATGGCTGCGGGAGGCTAGCTTCGTGAGGAAGATGCTGGGATTTCTTAAGAAATCGCTAGGGTTTTCACTCTGTATATTTCTTTTTCATTTTTTTGCAAATGAGAGAGAGAGGAAAAAGGCAGCGAAACGGGAATAAAATGAAAATGGAAAAGGGAAAAAAAATAAAATAGGTGTACAAGGGCAATTAGGTATTTTTTCAAGCCAAAATGGCTATATTTCATTTTTTTAAAAAAAGTGGCTAGATTTCATTTTTTCTTTTAATTAAGTGCTATAAAGGGGCATTACCACTTTATTAAACCTACAAAGTGTCAGAGAGGAGTGATGCGAACCGGACTTTCGAGTGGAATCGGACTGTAGCGGCGAGAGTAGTTAATATAATTTATGTTAGTTAAGTAATTAGAATGGATTATTATGGTAGTTATAGTTTATATGTTTGAATGGTTAGTTAGGATAATTTGAATATTTGAATGTTGTTTGTGTGTGTTGTAAGTAGGACATTTGTATGTATGTTTGAAGAATAAAGTTTTATGATATAAAGTTTAAGAAAAAGGCTCGTTTCTGAGCACTGTCTTCGTGAAAAACCGAGGCCGATAGTGCAAGTTTTTCACTTAATAATGTGTCGACCAAGGCCGACAGTGCGGGTTTACAAATTTTATCGTGTTCGAACCAAGGCCGTTAGCGCGAGTTCTTACACAAAATCGAGTCACGATACACGATCTTCATCAAGGAGATTCGACGTAAAGTTTCCGAAGTGGCGGGCATAAATAAGTAAATATTATTGTATTAAGAAAATCATATTAAGGTTTTAACTTCGAATCATTTTATTTATATCTTCGAGTTACATTATCAAACTTGTTATAGATTTTTTAGCCGATTTGGGTTAGTCTGTTAATGATGTCAGCGTGGAAAATATAAATAATAATAAAATCAAATCGACACCTCCCTATAGCCCCATAAGCGTCAAATACATCAGACACATCGACACAGAGCATCGAAGGTCACTAGTGCCAATCTTTGTACCGATCTCACTCCAGACCAAGTACCTTCCACATTAATGTTATGGCTTTGCGAGCGAACCCAATATTTCCATATCAGCACCGACCACGAACATGTAGCTTTGATCGTGTCGATCTTGATGCAGCACACAAAAATAGCTTGACACATCGGTATGAGAGAGTAGCTCGGCTACATCCGGGCTAGAAAACTCCTGTAAGTATAAAGACAAGATGCTCGGACACGAGTTTAAGTTGTCGAACAGGCACGACCAGAAGACACCGGCCTTCAGAAGCCCGGTAAAATAGCCAACGTCGAATTACATCGAGGTCGGGTGGTCTGAGGATATGATAGACCTAAAGACGAGATCAGGCAAAACCCTGGGACGAGGTCAGGATGTCCTCTTAAAGGCCATAATAGACATGATGGGAGATCAGACTTGCGACCTAAGAATCATCAGGCTACAACAGTAAAATGGGAGGAGAATCCGAGTAAGAAGGAAAGAATCACTCGCTCAAAGACTCTTTCCAAGATAGAGACCTGGTAAGTTAACGAAGTATAATCCAAATGGATCTCTTCCCTAACAAGAACTCACTTCGACCCCAAGGTGTTAAGTTCTATAAAAGGATGACAAGTTCTCTCAAATTAGACAACACACAATCCACGTTTTATTATACATACTATACTATTCACAGTTGAGCGGGTTCTTACTTGAGCGTCGGAGAGTTTGCCGCAGGGCCCCCCTTCCTGGCGTATTGCAGGTTATCGGAAGATCAAGAAGGAGGATTGTTCAATGAGGAATGGTGTTCAACCCGATCGCGACTAAAGGTGACGTATCAAATCTAACTTCTCAGTGTGAAAGGGATTGCTATCTAGAACTGGTGCACACGACTCTGTATGAACGTGCCCAACGACCATAATACTGGTTACTTGGATAAGTGACCGGTCACTTGTCATCTCTGTGATGCTACCGACCATTGTTCTCAAGAAAAGTGGGTTATACTTCCTTCATATTTCACTGAAGGTGCTCGAAATGTGATCCAAAGTTATGTAGATGCAATGGCTATATGCCGATGGGCTGGCTATCCGGATTTGTTTATAATATTCACTTGCAGCCTAAAATGGTTGGAGATAGTTCGTTATTTGGAGCATAAAAATTTATGGCATGAGGATCTTTCAGATATTGTATGCAAAATTTTTAGAGCCATGTTGAAGAAGATGATAAGAGATTTTCGTGGAAAAACAAAAATCTTTAGCAATGTTATCGCAGGTGAACATCCTTCTTATACATTTTTTACAAAAATTTTATCACTGTCTATCAACTTTTTGATTATGAGATGTCTATACTTTAATTAATTGTTAATAATTGTTTATTTTTATTATTTTGCAGTTGTTTATATGATTGAATTTAAAAATGTGGACTCCCTCATGTTCACATTATGCTTTTCTTATCTAAAGATAACAAGTTTCATGATCCATCTTATATACATAGAATAATATCTGCCGAGATACTTGAAAAAACAACTAATCCTTTATATTTTGGAGTTGTTAAAGAGCGTGCACCAAAAAAATTCCAAAGAAGTTTGTGAACTCCACGAGCGTCAACGAAGGGGGTTATCCACATTACAGACGTAGGGATAATGGGAGGCATATTGGAAAAAGTGGTGTTATTGTCCAAAAATAGATTTTTCGTGCCACACAACTGAAGTTTATTGATGAAGTATGGACCACACATCAATGTCGAGTGGTGCAATCAATCACATTCAATAAAGTACTTGTTCAAGTATATGAACAAAGGGAATGATCAGTGCTATTAAATGAAACGAGTCTGACTCAGCACAGCTCGAGCTCAGCTCGTTAAGGCTCGAGTTGGAGACCTTAACGAGCTGAGCTCGAGCTCATTTAAAGCTCGTTTGGCTAACGATCCATGCTCGGCTCGGGTCGATAAGGCTTGTTAAGGCTCGAAAAATAATTTTTTATATAATATTTTATAGTTCGGCTCATTAAAGCTCGATATCGGCTCGTTAAGGCTCGATCTCGAGGTCTTAACGAGCCGAGCTCGAGCTTGATTTCAGGCTCGTTAAGGGCTCGAGCTCGATTTTGAGCACCTTAAGCTCGAGTTCGTCTCAAACTCGTTTACAGCTCTAGGAATGATATTGTCACTGTTACTTTTTGTTTTCTTTTTTTCAATACGATATATTTTATAAACTCAAAAGGTTTGTACATGCGGGAATACAGCTGCTACTAAGCAGAATGGAGAGTCACTAACGATAGTGATCTAGCTAAAGATAAAAAACAGCCGTCTTAAGAGTATTAGGTCGGCATAGACTGAGGCTATAACTTCCGATCCTTCCTCTTATGATGCTGGTCTAAGAAATATTAACTATACAAAAGATAGGCTACCACTGAACTAGAGAACCTAGCAGCACTATCACTAAAAATAGGAACAAGAAAAAAAAAACAACCAAGATCAAAGGTCCAAAACAAAGAAACCAGAATTAACAAATCCGGAAAATCCATTAGCAAGAGGAGAATTCAGTCCAGGAGACCATCGCTGATTGGGCAATGGAGAACTCAGCCAGCCAAAAATTTTGGAAGACCCACAAGTTCCGGGCCTTTCAAATCCACCAGAGAACAAACACCAGAGAACAAACACCGAGAGATCGATTTTTGTGGCCAGTTTGGAGTGTGCCTGTAACTGCAAGTCTCTATCCACCAATGCCTTAAACTGAAGGATTCACTTGTAGTATTGTCCCACGAGACAGCTGCCAGCTTCCAAACCGTTTTAGCCCTCGTGCAATGGAAGAATGTGTGCTCAAGAGATTCAATATCTTCACCACATGATTGACAGATTGGATCAATGTGCTTTAGTCTGAGATTGAGCAACTGCTTTACTGGAAGTGTGTTGGTGAAGCATTTCCACAAAAAATGCTTGTAGGTATGTGTCATCGTGTGAAGGTTCTGATAAACCCGTGAATAAAATTTCCATGTACTATGAATCTATGATTGTAGGTATGTGTCATCGTGTGAGATGACATTGCGTGTTCCCGCTCCACAGCGGGTCCGTATGTGCTTATGGATCGCTGCAAACGAGCGGCTACTCACCAACGTTGAACGGGCCCGACGTCATATGTCTACTTCAGTAGCGTGTGATGTGTGTGGCGAGGACGAGACCATTATTCATGTGTTGAGGGATTGTACTGCGGCGAAGGAGGTATGGCGCCTTCTCTTTAGAGACAAACCTGAAGGTAATTTTTTCAGTTTGCCTTTGCATGCTTGGATGTACACAAATCTTCGAGCATCGCGGCTGGGACCCGAGGTGCAATGGCCTAGCCTCTTTTCGCACGCGGTGTGGCGACTCTGGACTTGGCGCAATGAGTGGATATTCCAACACAAAGTTACTAGTTGTGCGGCCCGACATTCGGAGGTCATGCGCATGACGGACCACTATTCTCGGGCTCAGGCTGATTATCGGAAGGTAGGGGCTGCCGCCTATGTTATTCGTTTGATACGATGGATACCTCCAGACTCGGGGTGGTTGAAAGTTAATACTGACGGGGCCTTTGACTCCCACTCTAGGCTAAGTAGTGCCGGTGGACTAATTTGAAATGAAACTGGTCGGTGGCAATCAGGCTTTCTTATGAATATTGGGGAGTGCACCATCACGGGGGCGGAGCTTTGGGGACTCTTTCAGGGGCTGTTACTGGCTTGGGAGCTGGGGCATCGAAAAATTATTGCAGAAGTTAATAGCCAAT